TATTAATGGGTCGAAGGCCATTGAAGAAATATGCTCCAATCAACAACCAATTTCCCACTATTTCCTTAGTGTGTGCAGCAATGAATGTAGTGAACGTGTTATTAATTATGGTTAAAGATACATTTGCAAGTTGGTTGCAAGTATGTCAATCTAGTTGAGATGATAAAGATTGAATTAAGGATGAATATAATAATCTTGCAAAAATTATATTAGTATTCTCTTTCGTAAACTGTTAATGTAATATTGAATGATGTACAAGGTTATTGAATTTACCAAAACAATGATGAAATTTACATTATACAGAATCTGCGGATAATCCTGTTTATGTATTTTGTTTGATGATTTCTATGTGTAATGTACAATATTCGATTGTAATAAGAAACTGATTAAAACTTGAATTTATAATAGAAATCAGATCACATATATATGACTACTGAACATAAAATAATATTCAAATCCACAAAAAATCCGACTAGCCACACCTATACCGGATTGCATGAAACATTTCGAGTTTGATGAACATTTTCACAAGCGAAGAATTCAATAAGATGATCGAGAACAAAGTTGAGTTGAGCCAAATTTAGCTACTTGTAATTGGTTTTTTGTCTATGTGTAGTCATACAGGCAAATTTTGAAAAATGATGAGTGAAGACTATGGTCTAAATCCAACTTCCAAAAATCAATACCATGATTGATGTTGGACGAAGCTTTTTGAATTAATATTACAAGGGATATTCGAAATGTCTGTTTTATGTTTTTTCTTCCTTTGCCTTTTAAGTGTCCGTTTGATTGGAAGGGTGGAAAATGGGTGGAAAGAAAATGTTTTACAGGGAATTGATTTTCTTAGAAAATGTTTTACTGGGAATTGTAATTAATTTTGTTTGATTGATATAATTTTTCATGGAAAATGTTGAAAGTTTGGTATCCATTTGGCTTCGTTTTTTATGGAATTTGTCCATTAAAGTAATAATTTTTTCTACCATTGGGTCTAAAATGTGTTCCAATTGTAAAAAAAAAAAAATTTTGAAAAAAAAAAAATTTACCATACCGAATATTCTTCGTTTGACTTTGTTTTGCATGAAAGTTGTCAATAAAAGTGAAATTTTTTTTTTACTATTGTATCTATAATTTGTTCCCATTGCAAAAAACAAAAAAAACAAAAACAAAAAAAAATGTGGAAAATGTTTTCCCACCTATTAGGTGAAAAAACATTTTCCACCATTTGTGCATCAAAGTGTTGTACCTAGAAAAAGTGAGGAAAACATTTCCGTGGAAAATTTCGCATATCAAACAGTCAAAAAAGTGGAAGTAGGAAAATATCCATGGAAAACTACACGAATCAAACAGGCCCCTTTTAAGTATTATTCAGATTCCAAGCTGGGAGAAGAAATGTATAAGGGACTTTGGAGCATGAAAGTGAAATTCCATTTGTTATCAGAACGGTAGTGACTAGTGAAGAAGAAAGGACTTAAGAAACTCCACGATTATAGTTTGACAGGAGTGACGTAAAAAGCTAGAAGACGGATTATTCTTTTAATAATCGGTGTTGACCTCAAAAAATAATTTCAACAAATGTCGGGTCCACTCTGGCCACGTCAAGTACGGATCCAGCACGTTTTTACTGGAGTAAGTATGGTAATCCAACTGCAGTGAACGTGGGAGTTACTTTCCGGCGAGAGACAAAGATGTTAAGGTTCCAACAATATATTTCAGGATTATCACGCTATCAATGATCTCCTATTCAAAGAAATGACAATGAAATATGTGGAAAGATAGATATGATGAGTAGATGAGTTCCCTTCGTTTCAATAAAATCTCAAGTGTTTGTATGAGTTTGTCTTTGTATTAATCCACCGTCCCCTTTTTCTGTACAAAGAGTGGCTATTTATATTGTTCTAGCCAATGTGGTGATCGTCGAATCAAGTCCACGTGGTGACATCCCCTAAGCCGAAACTTCACATCACTGTCCACTCATTGCATTTAATTTTTTGACTAAAGGTCAGCCGTTCTAGTAATAGGCTGACAATGATTAAAATTATAGACACTTCACTGTAGACGTCACATCAATCAATTCAAAAAGATCTTCGAATCTGGTGTGAGACAGCATCGATTTCATGAGCTTCGGGCGAGCCTGAAAGAACCTCGGATTGGGTAGTGCCTCGTCTTTGAGGAAGTGCTTCAGGCCAAGGCTTATTAATGCGAAAGCATCTATTGCTGGGTTAAGGACCTCGACCCATTTTCTTATTTGGACTTCTGACCTATTGGCTCTCCTCTTAACTCCTTATTGACCGTCATGCCACGTTGCATGTCATGTGGCCCAGCCTCTTTAGACCTCGAAATTGGGGGATAACAATCGAAGACAGGAGCAATCGATTCTACTTTGATACTTAGTCAATAGCTCCACAGAAAATTCGCCATTGAAGAAATTGAAGCAAAAACTAGGTTGAATTTTGGAAAGGAAAATTGGGGTAAAATATAGGGGATGAAATGTGGATTTGTGCTATGATGGTGGAAAATATTAAGACAAAATTAGGTCCCCTACCCTCCCAAAATTAAAAAATAAAATTAGAAATATAATCTTAAAACTAATTAAAGTTCTTGATCCCGTAAGTAATACATGCAAAACTTCCAAAATCCCCAAACCTCCCGAAAGTCCCACCATCGCCGGCAACCCATAATGCTGTCTGTAACTGCTCTATAACTTGTGACGTCGGACAGAATAGTGATTATTCTGCAGGTTGGAACTAATTGACAAATACAGAGAAGAACGCAAGAGAAACACCAAGAGAAACGAGAAAATTCTTTATTATTC